TAGATAACAATACAATTAGACAATACTGATTCTGAAATAATAAAATGTTTATATATATATAAATGAGGAATATCACACTCGTAGCAGTGCGATATGGCTGTATATCGGCACTGGTGGGGGGCACTAAGCCACGAGGCCATGCACGCCTCCCACCAGTGCCGATATACAGCCATATCGCACTGCTACGAGTGTGATATTCCTCATTTATATATATATAAACATTTTATTATTTCAGAATCAGTATTGTCTAATTGTATTGTTATCTAGAGCAGGGGTTCTCAACTGGTTTAGCCATGGGAACCACATTTTTACATGGTCATCAAGCCGCGACCTAAATTTTTAGAAACTATAATACAATTTTAGGAATTATAATTAATTTGTATTTATTTGTTAACATAAACAAGTAGTGACAGACACATCATAAGAAATTCACCAAGACTTACAAATAAACACTATTTTATTACTGTCTTTTAACAAAATGGATCAAATTATCGAAATATTACAAAGTAAACACGACAAATACAGTTAATAATAAACTGTTCATGAAACATGTTTTCTGGTTTCTAAATGTTGTTTTAATTTAGAAGGTTTCATGCTGTCTTATGAGAGCACCTCACTACATATCACACTGAGGCTTTAAGTCTTTTTTGTCATCAATATATATATTCATACTTTACATATTCAGGGTCATACTTGCGATTCGGCAAATTTGTTGCAACAATTAAATGAAATTTCACATGTCAAACGGTACGGTTGTCGCACACGCATTACAAAATAAAAGTATGGTATAAGCAAAATAAGTACAAATTTATACTTTTGTTGTTTTTTTTGACCACTCCGCGACCCACTGAAAATGTTCCCGCGACCCACTTTTGGGTCACGACCCACCAGTTGAGAAACACTGATCTAGAGCATTTTCCCCTAAAAAAATGATAGCTATAATTTAAACAACTTATATTGTGTTGTCTTCAGCATACGGGTTGTCTTCTTGTTGTGTTGTTCATTTATTATTTTGACCAATTATCAATGTATGCAAAAAAGAAGAACATTTAGAAGAAAAATGTCATCGGTACACAGCAAAAACATGTTTTAAGCACTACTAAACTGATAAATAGTACATTTTCAAGCTGTCTTTGAATATTTTTCCATAAGCAGTATAACTTGACGCCTGTTCTAATCTAGATTTTCTTGTATTGTTAGTATAACAAGTATAGGATCTGTCAGTAGTATTGTAAGACGCTATTTGCTCAAAACATAGCCTCTGTTTTGCATAAAAAAAATGCAAATAGCAAGATGCCATTCACACAACACAACAAGCTAGTTGTATTTCCTTTCTGCGGCCACAAAAAAACAAAAACGCCATAAACATATTCAAACAGCATGTAGTAAAACACATACAGCTTTTCTCGCTCATATTTTCTCACCATCTCTCCTTTAAGTCAGCATGCAGCGTCTGTTTCACCCGGACAGCAGGCAAACAGAACAATAAATCAATCCCTCGTTCAACACGCCGCATCACACACAACCCAGAACAGGCACTGTACGTGAACACACACGCCACAGACACATCAAAACACACTGCCTTCCCCTTCTCATTTCCTTCTCTTGTCTGTCTCTCTGGTGGTGGCCATAAACAGGCAGCTTTCAGATGGGAGGGAGGCGAGAGCGAGAGCAGACGAAGGAGTGTGTGCAAACAACACTGAAAGCCACAGTCAGGAGGGTCTGTCTGGGAGAGTACATTGTGATAATGAAGAATATCTATATCAATGGAATAAAGAAATCAACTGCAATAACATGTAATAATCTTAGCTAATCTTAGCAGCCTTACCGTGGAGCTCAGCCAGCTATCAGAGTTAGAAAGTGAGAGCAAACCCCTGACGTGATGGCAGATCCATTCATTGTTATACAAGCGCTTTTAGCTTTACAATTTTAATACATTTATTTTAATATTTGAATTAAGAAGTTTAATACTTGCACTATACTTTTGAGAGCCAATTATAATAAAAAAAAATACATTCCGCAAGAGACTGGCCTGCTGACCAAAACAAAAACACAAAGGCTCATCTCAGATTTGCCAGAAAACATATTGATGATCCCAAAAATGGCCCCAGAATGGCTGTAGAAAAAAAAATTAAGACTTTGGAGTGGCCTAGTCAAAGCCCTGATGTAAATCCAAATAAGATGTTGTGTTATGACTCTAACAAAGAAGGTTCATGCTCAAAAACCCTCCAATGTGGCTGAATTACAACAATTCTGCAATGATGAGGGGCCTAAATTTATCCAAAGCGCTGTAACAAACTCACTGAAAGCTATCAAAGACGCTTTAATGCAGTTGTTGCTGCTAAGGGTGGCCCAATCATTAGGTTCAGGGGCAAACACTTTTTCACACAGGGCTATGTAGTTTTGTATTTTGTTTTACCTTACTACTAAACACCTTCATTTACTTGTGTTATCTTTGACTAATAATTCCATTAGTTTGATGATCCAAAACATTAAAGTGTGACAAACATGCAAGAAATACATTCTGCATGACACAGGCCTGCTGTTCAAGACAAAAAACACTGCTGAGCAAAAAGAACATTAAAGATCGTCTCAGTTTTGTCTGAAAACATCTTGGTGATCCCCAGATTGGCTGTAATAAAACAAATATATATATATATTTTGGAATGGCCTAGTTAAAGTCCCGACCTGAATCCAAATGAGATGTTGTGACATGATCTTAAAAAGGCTGGTCATACTCGAAAACTCTCCAATGGCTTACAATAAATCTTCATTTTCAATTAATTATTTAGATTAAGGGGGTTTTGCATAAAAAAAGCAGAAGTGGATTTAGCTGGTTTTGGTGCATTTTTTTTTTTTACCTGATAGAAAGAGGCTGATAGAAAATGCTCATTTACAAGAAAAGAAGTCTGATGGATTTTAAGGTTTTTGCATTTGAACTCTTTACATATATATATATATATATATATATATATATATATATATATA